GACATTATCCACCATTGCCTCGGGGTCTCTCTTTCTACCATCAAATTAACTGTTATGCAAAAACTTCTGGCATTGTCAGCATTCTTTGCGGATTCCTGTTCAAATTATTGAATTAACTAAACCACCAACAAAATCATGTTTCCAGTGACATCAGGATCTATGTATGGTTCCCTGAGCTTGGGTAGGTCACTTTTTGCATCGACAAGTTCCTCCCCTGCAAAAAGAAACTGCTAGACCAGATTATCTCTAAGATCCTTTTAAACTATAATATTGTGCTTGTATACTGTTTCTTAATTCAGTGATTTTCGTTTTACTTTATGAGAACACGATATTCATCAATTATCCAGGGACTCTACCTCACAATTTAAAAAGTAATAAAAATAAAATAGAATAAAATAATAAAGGCTTTACTATTCGTAGACTCTGTTTCCAGAACCCCAAACCTGGAGATTCACTTTGAGGCATTCTATGCCCTTAGGTTTTCTCATTGGCTGTTCTGGTGGCAGCCGGCTCGTTAACTGACTTTTATCGCTTGTTTTCACAACAACCTTGAGACTCCTTAGAGCAAATTGCAATGGCAAATTTGTTATCCAATTGGCAGTTAGGAAAATCCAGATCTCAGGCCCCAGAGGAAAGGCCGACTCCTTAATTCCAGGCTGATGATGGGAAAGGAGTCATCAGGAGGTTAAGCGACTTATGCAATTGGACAGAGCAAGCCAGCGTCCAGGACAGAATTCTGGACACCAAGCACTTGCCTCTTCGGACGGGGTTCAATTCGCCCAGCCACACTTCTTCCCTGACTGCTTTTTAATCTGGTATGATCCACAAATAAGGGAAATTGTGGTTTTCACATCATGATCAAGGTTATTTTCCGCTGTGAATAATAAAAGCTGAGTAACCCATTCGTAGCTTCAAAATGTTCCCATTCCAGCCCGCGTTGTTTATTCCTCAGGCTTTCAACAGTTTTCATTTCAAGATGTCAGTTTTTAACAAGTTTGCATAATTCTGCATTTTATTTCAGGATTCTCTGTCATAACCATTCACTTCCCCCCACCGGCTAAGTTGTTGAAAAAGAAAACTCTGTTTCGAGGCCAGTCCAATCCTACAATTTAAAAGCTGGCAGGATCTGTCTTCCTTTTCTCCCCTGGGAGGATTAATTTGCTTCTTTTTATTCTCAAAGTTTTATGATTCCAAATAAAGGATATAATGGTGCCATTGAGAGTTGGGAAAATGTGGAAGATAAATAGTCTATGTGGGAACTGCTTAAAATGAGAATCGAAGTTTTGGGGAAGGAGGTGGGAGGAGAGGAGACGTTTTTTATCATGTGAGTGTGGCCTATTAATGATAAAGGAAATTTCCTCCTTCTAATGAGTCTTGCCTTTATAGACTGAAGTGAGGGCGAATGGTTCCATTTGTGTCATAAATGTAAAGAAGCTGAAATCGTACTCCCAAGAATGTAATATGTTTAATTTTGAAGTTAGAGGAGCAGCCATTAAAATGTACATTTTTTTCTGGGACCTGCAATACAGAGTCTGGGCTTTTAATCTTGACTTCACTGCCCAAACACTGACGCGTTTAAGAAACATGCTAAAATAACCTGCAGGAAACAAATGGACCAAGGAAGGTAACTTGAATAAATTCTCTTGATCAAGTTAACCCTAATTAGCTCCAAACTTGGTGGGAGCCAGCTGTGTGATAATCCATTTATACCACTGTTGCAAGAGCCCGATTGATCATTAAAGAATGTTTCTTAAGGGCCCTTTGGAATTCTACAAAATAAATTGGGCAAGTGTTATTAACCTCCAGAAGTTTATAATTAAGGTCAATGCAGCAGACATTTATTGACTAGGCACTGTGTGCAAAGCACTGTGGAGAAGCAGGACCAACCAAGGCACAATTCCTGCCCTCACGGAGCATGGAGGCAATGGGATAGGAAGATCATGACCCTTCATTAGTCTGTGGTCACACTGTCAGTCTGAGATCCCAGGAGGGATTCATTCTGCTGCAAACGTTTCACAGCACAGGCTACATTTGAAGTGGCCCTAAAAAGATAAGAGAAGCAAGGCTGATTTAATGCACCTCTGGTCACATCACACCATTGCTTACACACTCTTTTGGATTCCCCTCCTACCTCGAATTAAACCCACGCCCTTAACCATGACCTTCAGAGCCCTGTACACCTTTGGCCCTCCCCAGATCTCCTACTTGCCCCCTTGGCTCACACTCTCCCCGCCTCCCAGGCCTTCTGGTGTCTCTGAACCAATCCAACCCTGATCCTGCCCTTGGCCCTCTCCAAATGGAACACCTGCCTCTAGGCCACGTGGCCGCCCTTTACCTTCCCATCTCGGCTCAGAACTCCCTCCTCAGTGAGGCCTTCCCTGACCACCCAACTTAAATCAGGCGTGCTCTTCACCCCACTCTCTGTCCCATCGCCCTGCTTCACTTTCAGCATAGCATTTAATCACTCCAAGAAATTATCATCTTTATTTAATGACTTACTTATTTATCTGTCTCTCCCCTTGCCCTACCCCAGAATTTCAGCTCCACAAGAACAGAGAATTCTCTGAGGTGTTCACTGCAGTGTCCCCTGCACCGTGGCAGTGCCAGGCACTCGGTTAATATTGGGTGAATGAGTGAATCAATCAATCAATTAATCAATGAAAATAAAAAGATCAAAGACAGGTATTGTTAGTGGGGTAGGGGACAAGGAGCAATGAACAAGCACAGAGATGAAGTTCAGATGGGGAGAGCATTTTCGAGCTTGGGGGGAACTGACAGAAATATGACTTAGTCAGTAGACTGTGGCCTTGAAAGCTACAATTCACTGCCCAAACTTTCAGAGACTTCACTCCTAAGACTCAAAGTTCAAGATGGTAAAACATTAGGGGTCTCTGCCTCACCTCCATATCCCTCAAAATTTACACTGTTGATAAAGTGCATGTAACTCATCATTATTTTCCTTGCGCATCCAATAAATACTTGTTGAAATGTTGCTCCCTCCAGCAGTAGATTCCCAATAGCTAACGCCAAGTTTTACAATATTCTCACAGGGGAAAGAGACTTCGATATAAACGGAAAGCTCTGAAAAGAACCACTTGTTCCTAAGCACCAGTTAGAGATGCTATAACTTTAAAATGTGTGGTTTCTCTCCTCTGCAGTGTAGTGGACAAGCCCATCTTTAAGTGTATCCAAAAATGTCAGCTGTCACATTTAAGGGCAGACATCCAGCCCCAGCCGCCCCGCAAAGGTGGGCATGTTATCGGAAGGCCATCACAGAGCACTTAATGGACCTCCACTCCTAAATAAACACGGCGGGGGGATGCGGGGTGCAGCCTTACGTCCTAGTTGTTTGTGTGTTCCTGTCAGACTAGTCAATTTCATTGGCCTGCGACGTTGCATTTACTTCCTGGAATATGAGATTGCACAGATCTGCCTTCATGGGCACTGGTGACTAAAATGGGAACAGTTTAATGAATCGCAAGTCAGATCCTGTATATAAAGTCCACATCACAAGGAGATGGCCAGGCCTCTGCTCAGCACAGGAAGATTTATCTTCCCTGGGTTAGACCATGACCCCGTGCTCCCTCACCCTCCTTTCACACCAATAACAATGTTATCTCCCTCCCTAAAGGGCCCATGAGGTCTTATTCGAGACCCTTTAAAATCTGGAGCCAGATTATTCTCCAAGTGTCTAAATGACGTTTTAATTGCACCCGTCACAGTGAGGCGCCACTTTAACTCTTTCAGGGGAAAGTAAACAGTTTCACAAAGACAGGCTGAATTAGGAAGAATGCATGATCATTGTCCTTGACACCCAAGTCCAAATGCCTGGCCGGCTGAGAGAACTAGATTCGTGTCACCATCATCCCTCAGTCAGGGGAGCTTAGATGAATGCAAAGAATGAGTCTGCATTGAGGGCAGCCCTCCCACCCAGAGTGCATCCCAGCCACCCTGGTGTCTGCCGTTCTCCCATTGTAGACCCTTTCTTTGGCTTAAGTCTTTGTGCCCCACTCCCCGCCCGTTTGGGGCTATCTATCATTACCTCTTAATGTGAATAAATCTGTCCAAGTGTTAGGTATGAGGAGTCTGAACCAGAATCTGTCAACATCCTTCCACTCCAGTGAGCCTGAGTCCATAAGTACCTTTTCAATGACCTTCACTTCTCTTCCTTTTGTCTGTGGCCAAATCCCTGTCCCATCCCCCAGAAGTGCAGAAACAATTTCTTAACGGGTCTTGCCACAGACATATTAGACACACCCTACACTTTCCAATCTCTTTATTTGTTGCCATTCAGTCCAGCAGGAAGGAAGGCCTCCTCCCCATATCCAGCTATCTAATTATATCCACCTCAAAGATTCCTCACTTCCGTGGGACTTCCTACCTCAGGGAAACTCTCCTTAGAGTTTCTTTGCTAAAGGAGTGGAAGAATGGTCTGCTTCTGGTGGAATCCTGGGTGCTGAGACCTGCAACCTGGGGCCTTGGAGGGACACGGTCTTTGTCTCCCTTGATGAGCTTTGCCTGGGTTTCCCCTCCCTTGCTTTCTCTCCATGGAAGGCATTCACATCCCAGCACAAGAGGTGACACTGCCCACATATAAGACACTCAAGATGTTGAGCTCAAAGCTCAAACACAGCCGTCAAGCCTTTCTCTTTATCCTCATTTCCAAGAGAGTAGTATTCTCTTCTTACAGGGAAAATGAGAGAATAAGCATGTAATGAAAGGCATCTGACCCTCAGCTTCCTTCAGAGAGATAAAAGGAAACAATGGGGATTTGGGTTTACTGGAGAGCATTTTTCCCCTTTAAACTGAGCAGATACTGTTCAGTCCCACCCAATTCATACCAAATGGGAAAAGAAAAATTAAAGAAAGCCTCCAAACTCATTTTTAGGAGAAATCTTCTGATTTATAGATGTTAATTTAAATCTAAAAACAAACAAATAAAAAGCAACATGGGCCAGTGTGTACCTGTTGCCTCAGATGGATGACATTAGGGTATGAATTTGAGTTAATAATTCCCAAAATATATGTTATGACATTACAAATTTCTTAGATGTTTTAGGTTCCATGGTCCTGTAAGTTCAGAAAACAATGATCTAAATAACGTGAAACAAATTTCTCATCTCAATCTTTCATCTTTACGAATGCGCATTGCGAATTTCTAAGAGGGACATGTAGGAGGCAGGGTTTTCTAAATATCAATTACCTTGAGACTCTTTCTTCCAGAACCATCTCAAGGGGCTGCTGAGCCACAAAACAAGCTTGGGGAGTGCTGGCCCAGAGAAAAGGGATCTCAAAAGCTGCCCACACTGCTCAAATTGCTGGCTTTAGGCCAGGGACACAAAAGACGGCTTTGTGGTCCACACAAGGCCCAGTCAGCCTCCCATGAGGCTACCCTGAGGTGTGGGGACAAAGCTCTTTCTAGTAATAAACTGTTCCTTTGCTGGGCCTTGCACATCTGTCTCCTCTGGGGCCCCACAGTGTGACCACAGTAGGTCTTTCCTTCTTATCTCAACAAACATTAGGTGTGAGGGAAAACAGAGATGCAAAGACACACACCTTTTCTTACAAAACTTCAGATTTTGCTGGAAAGCAGAGGTTCAGACAGAAAAGTGCAGAAAGCTAAGACAACTGTTTTAACTAGGGTTTGTGCATAGTGTCATAGGAATGAAAGAGGCGCACCCAGATTTGAGAATCAAGAAAGACTTCGAGAACTTGTCAGAAAGTCAAGGGCAACAGTGTTCCAGAAAGAGAAAGGCCATACAGCAGTGGTTCTCAACCAGGGGCAATTTTGCTCCCTCAGGGGATATATATTTGGCAATGTCTGGACACAGTTTCGATTGTCATAATGGAGGAAGGGGTGGACTTGTTACCGCATCCAGTGGGTAGAGGCCAGGGATGCTGCTAATCATCTTACAATGTACAGGGAAACCTAACAACAAACATTTATCTCTCTCAAAGGTCAATAGCGTTAGGGCTGAGAAGCCCTGCCATCAGCAAAGCACAGAGGGTTGAGCACAGGCTAACCTGGGGATCTGCATGTGTCTGGTGTTGTTTATCAGGGCTGGTAGAGACCCATCTCCCTCTCTCCCCACACCCAGATTACAAACTCCTCAAAAGCACTGACTTGCCCTGTTGGTGTTCATATTTCCAAGGCCTTGACTATAGTAAGTACAAAACGAAGGAGTGAAATAGGTTTCCCAAGGAGCAATGTCGATAATAATGAACACAGGTGTATGAAGTTCCTGTGGCAGCCATAACAAATTACCGCAACTTGGTGGGTGCAAACAACACTTACAGTTCTGGGGGTCAGAAGTCTCAAATCAACATGTTGGCAGGATTTGTTCCTTCTGGACGCTCTTAGGGAGAATCCTTCCTTGTCTCTTCTGGTGACTCCAGGTGTTCCTTGGCTTGTGGAAGCATAATTCTAATAGTGGCCTCCATCTTCCCATGAGTCTTCACTTGGCCTTTTCCTGTGTGTCTGTGTCTTCTCCTCTTCTGTTTCTAACAAGGACATGTGTCACTGGATTTAGAGTCCACTCAGTTAATCCAGGATGATCTCATCTTGAGATCCTTAACATAATTCCATCTGCAAAGACCCATTTTCCAGATCAGGCGACATTCAGAGGTACTGGGAATTAGGACTTGAACATAGCCTTTAGGGGGCCACCATTTAAGGCTACAACAGGGGCTACATGCCTGGAAGGCAGAACAAGAGAAACACTCATAGGAGGGGAAGAGAGAATCCTTCACCCGGCGAATCGTTTCTCCAAGAGTTGGCCACTTCTGGTTCTCACTTCAATAAGACAGCAAGATAAAACAGCAGGGGCATTTCATTTTGAAGCACAAAATATTTGTGTACAGAATATATGAGTACAAAATATTTTCAATGATAAAAGACCCTGTCAAGGAGAAAGCTCAGGGAGTCCACAAAAACGCCACCTAATTCACACGATATCCCTAGATTTCAGGTCTCTAAAATGCACTCTGCACAAGGACTTCATCCGTGCCAGTGGAGGAGAGCCTCATTTTCCTGAGAGTAGAGAGTAAAACTTGAGAAGCTCTCTCCAAAGCTCTAGATGCCACAAAGTAGCTCAGTCTAAGCCCAGTCCCCAAAATAAGGAACACTGGGCCTCTGTTTTAAACTTGGCCCTGTCACCTTAAATTATCCCCGCTTCTTGTCTTGACACAACCTCGAAAGGCTGCTCCTCAGACGTGGTTGCATCAAAGCTGCATTGGTGCAAAAGGGGCATATTTTAAAATGACAGATCTGAGAAGCAAGCCCTCGATAGTCTAAATGAATATATTATTTTAAAGATGGAAATGACTCCTGGAATACCCTGTAATCCAACACTTCTCAATAAATCTCATGTAACAAATTCTCCACAGATCTGAAGACCTGATCTTGGGGTAAGCAAGCGTGTCCTGGAGCCACAGTGGAGGGAGAATTGAAATAAGTGCTGCAGAAGACAGGGGACCAAGGGTGCCTTTGAAAGTGACTCCAAGATCATGTTACCACAGCAAGTATGAGTTAAAGGAGGGAGATGAACGACCAGTTTAACTGAGCTCCCCTCAGCCCTCCAGTTGGTAAAGATGAGACTTTCCCACTTTATACAAATACTCTGGTTCCTCGTTCCCCTGAAAGACTGGAGGCTGGGTGGGAAGGTTTTCCACTCTGAATGGCTTTCAATGTAATAATACTTAATACTCCTTTTTGAAACAGTTTCCTCTTTTTCTGAATATTTTCATGGGACTGTAACCCATTTGTACATAAAATTGGTTGAAAGTGACATGTTGAAAAGTCCAGCAAACACTACAGCGTGCTCTATTTTCAAGGAATATAAAATTGGGCTCTGTCTGACACCTTGAGTGCGCTTGTGAAAACAGAATGTCACATCTCAAAGGGTTATTCTTGATAGTTTAAAAAAATAAAATAAAATAAACAGACCTTTCTAGGCAAACAGCCCTTTTGTACTCTAGTTTCCATGGAGACACTGGCAATTGTACTTTTCATGGCATGGTCTTTTTCACTGGGTTTTTAAAAGTCTGGCTTAGGCAGCTGACCTAGTGACCCTCAGAATTCGGGAAATAATCTTTATCAAAGCAGCATATGATATTCTGATAGATCCTAAAGATAGTACCCATGCTATAGACCTAGTTCAAGAAAAGAAGATGTGTAATTGTTGTACAAGTTGGAGGAAGTGGTCGTCATTTTGTCCAGAGCAATGCTGCTATGATAATCCAGTTTATCCAATGTCCCTACTTTGAAAATTCCTGGATTTAAAGAACCAAACATATACTATTGAGAAAACTTAGTATTAGAAGAGTTCCTAATACTATATGTCAATACTCCCCTCTCCAGGAGGTGGAGCCTAACTTCCCTCCCCTTGAGAGTGTCTGGACTTAGTGACTCACTTCCAAGAAATAGAGTACAGAGAGGGATAAATCATAACTTAACAGTGAAAAAACCTGGTAGACACGAACTTAACAAGTGATGAAGTTTGATATTCTCAGTGATAAGTCATGTTGACCTCATGTCCTCCCCGACATGACATGAGTAGAAGGGCACTTCACCTCTGTAGAATTCTTCCCCTAAACACAAAACCCCAACCTAATCATCGAACAAAAGAGAAACATCAGACAAACACCAACTGAGGGACATTCTACAAAACACTTGACTAGTAATCTTCAAACTTGTCAAGATCATAAAAAGCAAGGAAAGTGAGAGACTGTCATAGGTCAGAGAAGACTAAGGAGACATCATGACAAAATGCAATTGATTTCCTGGATTTGATCCCATTATGTGAAAAAGACACTATGGGAAAACTAGTTAACTGCAAATAAAGTCTGTGGTTCAGTGAATAGTATGGTATCAGTGTGAATGACTCAGTTTTGACAAATGAGCCATGCTTACCTGTTCGAGACAGGAAAATGAGTGAGGAGTACATGGGAACTCTCTCTACTATCTTTACAACTTTCCTATAAATGTAAAATTATTTTAACATTTAAGAGTATATCTTAAAATTAAAATAATTTAGCACACTTTCAAGGCTAAAAAGAAAACGACCAAACAAAAAGATAAGAGAAAGTGCCATTTTTTTGTGTAACAAGGTGGACTCATTTCCAGATGACAATACTGAGACAGGATTAGAAAAGTAGAAAACAAAAGTAAAGACCATGCAGTTGGACATGAAGTATAAATCCTAACAGAAAATCAGAGTTGGAGAAGGGTCCAAAACCAACAGGCAGATTGTTTCCTATTGTGCAGGACATGGGTCCTTAAACTATGATTGGAATCAAAATCTTTGAGGAAGCTTTGTAAAAATGCAGATTCCTGGGCCCCACCTTCTTGAGTCTTGTTTTTTTTAATTATTTTATTGAGGTCATAATGGTTTATAACATTGTGCAATATTATTATTTATTAGTTTCTGTATAGACTGCATCGTGCTCTCCACCAATAGTCTAATTTTTATCTTGATTCTAAATCAATAGCTATGAGACAGGACAGGATCCAGGCATGCACACTTCACGGAGACATCATTGCCTCTCTGTAGGAAAGCACACAGACTCTCAAAGAAGTGGAGTCTCTTTCTGCTGCCTTTGAATCTTGGCTGGTATTGGGCTTTGACCAATTGAATGCCCCAGAAGTGTCTCTACATAGCCATGATGATTAATGTTATGTGTCAATTTAACTTGGTCATGGGATGCCCAGATATTGAGTCAAATAGTATCCTAGGTGTGTACATGAGGGTGTTCTTGGATAAGATTAACATTTGAATTGGTAAAGTGAGTAAAGCAGATTGCTCTCCCTGATGTGGGTGGGCCTCATTCAATCAGTTGAAGGCCTGAATAGAACAAAAAAGCTGACCCCCCCCCCCCGCCCCCGCATGAGAGAGAATTCCTCCTGAGTAACTGCTTTCAAGATGGGATATCAGTTTTTTTCTGCCTTCAGATTCTAACTGAAACACAGGTTCTTCCTTTGCCTTGAGACTGCCAGCCTTTGGACTGGAACTACACTATCAGCTCTCTTGGGTCTCCCACTGCAAATCTTGGGACTTATCAACCTTCATAAGTGCATGAGCCAATTCCTTATAATAAATCTCTCTCTCTATATATATGTATACATATATGTATGTGTGTGTGTGTGTATATAACACATCCTCTTGGTTCTGTTTCTCTGGAGAACCTTAACTAATACACTAACTTATAAGGTGAAGCATTAAGAGACCTACAGCTTTTTTGTTCATTTATTTGGAGAGCTCCTTCTTGTTACCCAGCCACCAGCATGTGAGGAAGCCTAAGTGGTTTCATGGAGAGACCCCATGGAGGAAGGCTGAGGCCCCCACCAGAAGGTCCGGTTGAGCTCACAGCTGACAGCCAGCCTAATTGAAGGCCATTAGAGTGAGCCATCCTGGAGTCCCAGCTCCAAGTTAGCCTCCAGATGTCTTCAGCCCCAGGCAATATCCTGTGAAACAGAAGAACTGCTCAGCTGAGCCCAATCAACTCGCAGAATCATGAGAAAAAATAAACGGAGTTATCACAAAGACTAACCGGAACTCACTCCTGGAAGGGTTTGATAAGGACACACAGATGGAGACAGAGTTCAGGTTGGAGGCAAAAAGAACAGACGCATGTGGGTGGGTGTCATCCTGTGCTGGGAGAATCTTCTTTAAACTATTGTTTACTTAATTTCTTTTGGTTTAGAAAAGTATTACCATTATACCAATTATGTAAAAATGTACAAAGAAGAAACCAAAGCCTAACTTATCAGAACTAAATAGCTTATGAATGCTTTTTCTAAATAAAAGACAGGTCTCTTTCCTAAGAGGAATTTTGCCACCACCTTTTAAGAAAAATTTTTTTTCTTCCCATCTCTATATTTATCAGCCTTTTGAATTAAATGGGGAGGGGGTATTTTTTTAATTAATTCTTTGTTTATTCCCTGTTAGTGGGGAGCAGGGCATATTAGAGAGCAATATAAACTCTTTATTTATGAAGCATATCAAAACTTTGTAATAACTTTTGAAAGTCTTTTCCCACTCCATTATTTGCATTTAAATTTAGCATATGTTTTTGACATGTAGAAACTGTAAATGTTATTAAATTAGTGTTTTTTTACCTTTGCAATTCATCTCATTGTTTTTATGTTCTGAAAAGCATTACACATCTGGATATAAGAGAATTTCCTATATTTCCTTCTAGTTTTTTCAAGGTTTCACAAATTGGTGAAAACATAGTCCATCTGGAATTTACTGTGATGTATGAGCTCCTTGGAAGGCCCCTCTTTCATCCTAGGGAGACTGTCTCTCTCGTCTTAAAGGCTCATTTCCTTGAATCTAGTATGATACAAAAAGAATAATTTAAATTGAATTTTAAAATAACATCAAAAGATAAAAATTATACAATTCATACCAACAGCAAGCATGCTCTAGAGAGAATAGTTTAAAAACTAGAATGTCCTTATAAATATTAGTAAGCACTCACTAAATAAAATATTTGAAAGC